GCGAACCTATAATTATTGTCTTCCATTTTTTCATTCCTTCTTTTTTTTTTTTTATTTCAGGAAAAGAATTTCAATAATGACAATAATTTTCCGAAAGAAAGGCTAGTTTTTCACTTTTTTAAAAGAAAAAAAAAATTTTGCATGAAATAATTGCATTAATAAGAATTATTTGTTTGTTTAAATAAATTATTTTTAAATATTTCGTAATTTATGTTTACTAATTTCTAATTTAAAAGTTACAAAAAAAGGAAAATTTATTGAATATTATTAATTATTATAATATGTAACAGGAATAGATATGTAAAAGATAATGAAATGATTATTACATCACACTTAATGAATCATTAATAGAATATATGTCAACATAATTTATAACAAATATTCGTTGTTTTTATAAAATAGAATTACGTAAAAACAAGAAAAACAAATAAGAATATCTGGCGCAAAAAAAAACGTAAAACACCTACGAACACTTGACGTACGTATCATTTCATTCCATCATTATAATTATCGATAAAATTTATGAACATCATTTCTTTCCCAAATAATATTTTTGATAATGAAAATATGAAATTGTTTTCGTTAATTGAAATATTTTCTTTTATCATTTTATAGTTTTAAATTTTATTAAAATTTTAAAATAATCATTTATAGCTCAAATCCGCCACATAATCCTTATATGAAAACTATGTTCGATAGCAATTTCAAAACGCATGATATATGCGAATCGTGGAATTCCGGTAATCAACCGGATAATTTACTCTGGTTCGAATTTTTCAAATTACTTTTTTTTTTCTTCGCTTTGCCAAAAATTGTGTTTTACAATTTAACGAATTAAAGTATAATTAGATAGAAATACTACTTATATTAATTACGTTATAAATATCTAATAACATATACATATAAATGCATTCTTAAATATTATTTTATTTTGTATTTTCATAATAATTCATTTTTTTATTTTATACTTTAGAATCTTTATATTACGTTATTTTGGTATTTTTATGTTTCATAATTTTGATATTTCTATACTGCATCATTTTAGCATTTTTTTTTTATACGATATTTCAGCCTTAAACACACACATTAGCTGATAAGCATAAATCACCTTTAATTAATATGATTAATTAAATCCATAATTGAAAGTAAAATTTGTCAAACACATAATGCAAGACATATTACAACTTTCGCATACTTACTTCAATATATGATATCGAAATATTGAAAATAAAAATTGCAACCTTAATTAATACAAATATTCCAATGATATTTAAAGTAAATATAAATTACAAAAATGTTGAATAAAATTATAGGATAAAGCTATTTGGTTTGAATTATACTAAAACTTATGAAAGAAATGAAAAATTAAACAAATTAATTTTAACGATTGATCATTTGCTAAATTTTCTTCTTAGATATTTATTTTATATTTTATGCTATTTTATGCTATTTTATGATTACTGTATAGTATCGTTACTGTACAACATTTACCGTGTCTTACATTTACTGTATTTTATCATATAACGATCTATAACGCTTCTTTATTTGCTAGGGCTGAACCGGCGGATCGTTTATTGCGCATCATTGGTAACGGTGTTGTTAAGGACGGGTATAATATGTTTATGACACCAAGTCAAGCTGAAGGTCAATTTTTCTTTTTTCGTATAAAATTTTAAAATTAAAAATTAATAAAAAATTTATTTTCAAATTCATTTTAACATTTACCTTCGAAAATATTATTAATAGTTATCAAGCGAAAAAATACAAAGTATTTCGTAAATGTTAATACGTGAGAAGACATAAATGTTAATACGTGAGAAGACACGTTAATACGTGAGGAATTTTTGTTAAAAAGTTGTATTAATTTGCAGGTAAAACAACTGTAGTATCTGTGGCTATATATATTGAGTCTATGTCATCATTTAGAACTCAAACAATGGTGAATTATTCCAAATTCGATTTAAATTTTAAATTTACATTCATTTATTAATTTCGTTTATTTATTTTGAATTAATTATGTGTGATAATCAGATTTGAATCAATTTGATGCAAAATAAATGATTTTTTTTTCAAATAAAAACTGAAGCTTATTTAAACTCAACAAAGTTCGGTTAAACTTTAATGAAGTTATGCTGTATTAAATTCCAAACTTACACTTATTTATTAATTTTGTTTACTTGTTTTAAATTAATTATGTGTGATAATTAGATTTGATTTCAGTCATTAGTTGTAAAAGGTATGACAATGTAAATAAATAATTTTTTTTATGGAAATTAAACTTTTATTAAACTCATTAAAATTTAATTTGATTTTAATGAAGTTAAGTTGTGTTGTTTTACCAAATTTTTCAACATTACATTGTTGAATTTTAATTTCCTTAAATTTAGTGTTTTAAAAATTTCTTGCAGGATTTTGAAGTTGATATGTATCTTGCTCTAGCCTGGTATGATCGTCGTTTGGCTCATAATTGTACACATCCAGTACTTGTAACGCATAAATTCATTGTTGATCGTTTGTGGCAGCCAGACCTCTATTTTGTTAATTCCAAATTTGCCTACCTCCAAGAAGTGACAACGCCAAATTTTATGGTCATCGTTTATCCAGATGGTTTAATATTCAAATCTATGAGGTTAGTAAAGCTTACTATTATTTAGCTAATAATTATTCATATTTTTTATGTTAGCTTTATGGTGATATGAATATATTAATTAGGCTGAATATAAGATAAAAATTGTGTTAGCCAAGTTTCTTTCATTTTATTGCATGAAATCGTAAAGTTTTATCACATTATGATGAAAAGATAATCGAAATATTCCGCAGTATTCATTTTTTTTTCCCTTCTCATTTCGACAACTAAGTAGTTGAATAATTGAAATGACTAGGTTTAGGAATTTTGAAATTCAAAAAGAAAATAAAAATATGTGATGCCAATGACAAAGAGTAAGTGACAGACAGGAAAGCTCTTCTGACAATTATGATACGCTATCTTTTATATATTGCACTCTGAATTTGATGCTTTTTATTAATTTTTAAATCGAAAAAAATAGAATACTC